TCATTGGCTGCCTGCTTACAATGAAGGGTGGCTCCTTCACGGACACCGCTCGTGAACTGTGAAGACCGTTTCCAAATGTCTCCAAGCTGTTATTTTATTGCTGGCTTTTTGTCCGTTAATGTTCCCTCCATGAAAGGCGACCCGGACCGGTGGTTTTCACTTGTATCACCGTCGCCACAAAAGAATTCCCATAGCATAAAATTTCGGCTTTTCAGCACAGAAGATCGTACAACCACTTCAGCGGCTTCACGGTGCGATAAATGGCAAAACGATCAGTTGTCGTAGTCAACAGCGGTTTATTTCAACGTTTAGATGTTATTATTGACATAAAGCTGATTCCGTTGTCTTTTGTAACGGCCAGGCCTGTTTCCTTTAACTATTCTCGTTTCGAAATGCCTTTTTTTTTTTTGGCTGTTGTTTTGTGTTGCGGTATGTCATTTAGAGCGAAGAAAGTGTAGCTGATCAAAATGGATCGTTTGTGATTATTTCTGGTACAAGTTTTCAGTGGTGTAAACAAATACTTTTTCTTGGATGATGTTGTATAGTTCAGTGACTGATACCCATTAAAAAAAACAAAACAAATAAAAACAACTTAATCTTGATGTCGGTTAAACTCAAAACCTTGAAATAGTAAACATTACTATTTAAAACTCCAAAACGTATAGGGCCTGGACTTCTTTGAAAATGTCGTTTAGTAACCTTTTTTGACTTAAAGGAAACGCGAACACTGACATTCAAATAGTGTTTTTTTTTAAATATGTGAATTACACGATTATAATATGAGTGCTTGTTCGAATAAAGAATTTGAAAGCTAGACTATAAATTAATAATCAGTTTATAAGTGTTTATTAAAATAAGTATAACTGTTTCTGAGATGCAGTTTCTCTACTTGTGAATGAATTAAGGACGAGGGCTGTTCAGACCAGTTAAGTGTGTGTATGATAACAAAACAGAGACGTTTATCTCTGTGTGCGTTCGTCGGTTTTCAACAGCCTAGAGATGGATGACTTCATAGGCAACTGCAGGCACGAAGGTAAGGAAATACTGGAAACATTTAAAAGAATTCTAGAGCTTCTTTGATGTCCAGCGTGAAGCGTTAATTTGCAATGCCATATAATTTTATCAGTAAAAAGATATACTCATACTCATAACTTGATTTGATTTCTAAGGTGGACGTGAATCATTATGGACCTGTCATGTGATTTAAGTGATTTAATTTTAAAGTCACTTTAACAGGTCAATGTCAATTGACCTTTTTCATAATATGATATTAATTATTTTTTTTTTTTTACAATTTAAATATTTTTTGTGTGGATAAAACAATACCATCAAAACGAAACAATGTTATCCTAATATCCCACATTACAAGTTAGTTTCCATAGATGTACATGTAATGATTCATTTTCGTAATACAATACGTCAATTGTTCCTTATAATATGTGTAAACACATATTCTGCACACAAAAAGTAATTAATTAATAAGAACTACATCACAAATAATAAATCACAAGCGGGTCATCTATGGTTGTTACGATGTGTTCAATAGGCGCGCAAAATAAAGTAACCAGAAGTTAGCACTAAATGGGATTCTTATAAAAATGCGTGAACTTTTATAGTTTACGCCTGTTGTTTATTTGTTCCTAGTAAATTAAGTTGACGGGAAGTTTGCGCACTGCCGTTGTTTGTCGGGGTAATTCTAGTATGAAAATAGGAATGTCCAGAATTTGTCAGGCCGGTTGTTGTAATTCAATTCACGTTTAATTTTAGAAAAATAAACACGTAATCTTTCTTTAAGTGCTAATTTACCAAAATGGAATGAGGAATGCATTGAAATGAGTTAAAGAAAATATTAGAATATAAAATGTAATCCAGCTAATTTTGTCAAATGTTTAACACATCTAACTGTAAATTTTTGTGGAGTATAAATATGTAGTATTTCTCGGGCGTGTTGCGACATTTAAAACAAGAGATTCGCAAGATTTTGATTCAAATAAACTTAGTTTTATTGTTTATTTGCCTTTTTGACATCTATTTAGGGGTTTGTGAGCAATTTATGATTAGATTAAGTAAGCTCTTAAATCATGATTCCAATTTACCTACACGTCATTGATAGAGCCTGTAGATGCCAGGCAGGTTTGTCGGGGAAATTTCTAAACTTACGAGACACTTTCCCACTCCTCCGCGGGTATTAAATATATATATATATACGTTTGTGTGTGTATTATATATATTATATTTTTCCTTGGACATTTTACTGAAATACGGGACTCCTCCCATAATGTACAAGTGCATTTCTTTTTTTCTTTTTTTTTTCTTATGTGTAAATTCCAGTGTTAAGTGTAGAAATATTTTAGCTAATGTGTGTTAATGTGTCAAGATGCAAAAACTATGAAAACCACTTATATCTGGGAACTTAGAGGATATTTACTCTTAACATTTCGTAAACATCAACTCCCCCCTCCTCCCCACTTTTTTTTCCAATCTCCAATTTTATGAATGATATATTTTCTTTAGCGATGTTACCCCTCATGCAGCGTTTCTAGGCCTACTTTCTAAAGCCAAGTCTCGCGAGTGTCAGATACTGTGAAATGATCCAAATCCGAACACTGCTATGCGATTTGTAGGAAACAGCAGGTAACGCAAGGGCCATACCGAGACCAAGCTTTCGGGAACACAAAACTTACAAAGGACTCTCTGCGTGCAGGACACACCGTGAGGGTGTTGACGTTTGATGTGTCCACCAGTTTCCCCATGCACAAGACGCGCTCAAGGGGGAGTGTGACAAAGTGTGATTTAAACACATAAACACATCAACGTCAAGTGGATTTATTCATGGCTTAAGATGGGGGTTGTCATGGTGTATAGGCAAAAGATGGTATTCAAGTTATAGGCAGATGAGTGTAGTCAAGGTGTAGGCTGATGAGTGTAGTCAAGGTGTAGGCTGATGACTGTAGTCAAGGTGTAGGCTGATGAGTGTAGTCAAGGTGTAGGCTGATGAGTGTAGTCAAGGTGTAGGCTGATGAGTGTAGTCAAGGTGTAGGCTGATGAGTGTAGTCAAGGTATGGGCTGATGAGTGTAGTCAAGGTGTAGGCTGATGATGGTAGTCAAGTCATATGCTGATGAGGGTAATCAAGTGGATTGAGTGAGTCATTTGATGGGTTTTGTTTAAATATGGGACGTCAGTTTTAAAAGAAAATATGTTTCCACATCGATTAAGGAGAAAATAAAGTTAATTTAAAAGGCAAATTTAAAATCATATTAGCTCTAACTAGTTATAATAAAAATAACCCCTATTAATTAAATAACAAATAAATGAAATGTATTAATTTGATTTTTTTTTCGTGAGTTTTCTTTGTGTGTGCTTAAAAAAATTAGCACATTAAAAATATATTCGATAATTTCTTCATACATCTCATGTTAACAAAATCGTTGAATCTGTTTATATGTTATGTACCAAACAAACTTTATATTTTGTTGTTGTTTTGTTGTTTTTTTTTTGGGGGGGGGGATGAATCACGAAATACTGAGGTGGTATTGAGGGTCTAAATTTTGTTACAACCTTTTAACAATAGTGAGGTTAAAAGGGGGGGGGGGGTTGGTTTGAAAAAAAATTATAAAACAGCGTGACTTTATATATGAAGCAAGTAGGGTTACGAAAGATAAGGAATTGACATGATTTATTCATTAGACCTATTAAGCAAATGGTTTGACGAGAAATATGTAATGGCGGAAATTGGTCTGTCGAATATTGGCAAGGATACATAATTTAGTGTCTTGCAAAGACAATATAAAAAAAATCCTGCGCTCATATTAATAGAATGTGTTGTATTTATAACACAGGCCCAGCTTTCAACACATATTAATAGAGTGTGTTGTATTTTTAACACAGGCCCAGCTTTCAACACAGATTAATAGAATATGTTGTATTTATAACACAGGCCCAGCTTTCAACACATATTAATAGAATATGTTGTATTTATAACACAGGCCCAGCTTTCAACACACATGATAGAATATGTTGTGTTTATAACACAGGCCCAGCTCTCAACCCATATTAATAGAATATGTTGTATTTATAACACAGGCCTAGCTTTCAAAACATATTAATAGAATATGTTGTATTTATAACACAGGCCCAGCTTTCAACACATATTAATTGAGTGTGTTGTATTTATAACACAGGCCCAGCTTTCAACACATATTAATAGAGTGTGTTGTATTTATAAAACAGGCCCAGCTTTCAACACATATTAATAGAATATGTTGTATTTATAACACATGTCCAGCTTTCAACACATATTAATAGAGTGTGTTGTATTTATAACAAAGGCCCAGCTTTCAACACATATTAATAGAGTGTGTTGTATTTATAACACAGACGCAGCCCTCAACACATAATAATAAAGTGTGTTGTATTTATAACAAAGGCCCAGCTTTCAACACATATTAATAGAGTGTGTTGTATTTATAACACAGACGCAGCCCTCAACACATAATAATAGAGTGTGTTGTATTTATAACACAGGCCCGGCCTTAAACACTTATTAATAGAGTCTCTCGCGTTATAACATAAACCCAACTAGCAGCACATAATCTAAATCGATAGTTGAAGATCGTATGTTATTTTCTACTAGAGTGGATTTCGGGATGTGTGTACAAAAATACTCCACACACGTCTTCTGTGGAATCCCAGCTGCTGCCGAACAGCGACGACAGTACAGAGGACGATGAGAAGAAAGGTACAGTATAGAGTTGGAACGGTTATTGTATAACTTTTAAGATCAGTTATATCAGGTCATGGTATGTAAGATTAGTTCTGAGTAAAACTTACGCTGGGTAAGACTCTGTGATGTTGAGCGGAAGTGCGTTACATATTTTTTTTTCCCCCTGATAAACAAAAGAATCAAATAGACTTTCTGGTCTTAATCTAGCATACTTTAGCTCAGGTTAAACAATACTGTCTTCTCCTTCCAACAGTACCATCCCCGGGCAGATACTGCAAAGGTTCCAAGCCCCACTCAACACCACTGACATTGAAATGGTAAGCTGCCGTCTTGTATGTGACCAAAAAAAAAAACAACACATGGCATTTAATTTCATTAGACATAGTCGTTATCCTCATCTGAGAAGTTGTTTTTTTTTTTTTAATGATAAAAAAAATATTTCGTTTTTTTAAGTGTTTTTTTTTTTTTTAAAAAGGTATCACACCAAAACTAAATACAGTAAATTGTTGAAATGTGTTAGCTAGCTTGAAAAAAAAGAGTTCATTAATAATTAACACAAACGCACACGCATATCAATACAAACATGAACACACACACACACACACACACATACACACGCACATTTACACATACACCACAAGCACGCATAAACCTAGACGACTCCTTTTACTTTATTACTTTGTTGTTATAGTATTTTTTTAATTTTTAGATACGCTATGTAACTCTGGTGCCTAACATTGAAATAAAAATTCATACACTTGCACCACGCTATACCATTAAGTATGTTCTTTGTAACGTCAACACAACATGATATTTCATTATATATGTTCTTTGTAACGTCAACACAACATGACATTTCATTATATATGTTCACGTAACGTTAAAAAACATGATATTTCATTATATAAGTTCTTTGTAACGTCAAAACAACGTGACATTTCATTAAATATGTTCTTTGTAACGTCAACACAATGTGATATTTCATTATATATGTTCACGTAACGTTAAAAAACATGATATTTCATTATATAAGTTATTTGTAACGTCAACACAATATGATATTTCATTATATAAGTTCTTTGTAACGTCAACACAACGTGATATTTCATTATATATGTTCATGTAACGTTAAAAAAACATGATATTTCATTATATAATTTCTTTGTTACGTCAACACAACGTGGCATTTCATTATATAGGTTCTTTGTAACGTCAACACAACATGACATTTGATTATATATGTTCTTTGTAACGTCAACAAAACGTTAAATGTAAATAAATAGATATTTATAAAAAAATGTTTTTGCGTGCTACAACAGGCTTGAAGAAAACTATGAAATAGCTGAGGGGGTCTGTATACCCCGATCAACGCTGTACCTTCACTACTTGGACTTTTGTGAGGCACATGACACGAACCCTGTCAATGCAGCCAGCTTTGGAAAGGTAAGTCAGAGTATTCATGTGGACATCTTATATTCATGTGTACACATAATATCTCTGTAAATATCTTATATTATGTGTACACATATAGATGTGTGCATCTTATATTCTGTGTACAACTTATATTTCTGTGAACACCTTATATTTCTGTGTTCATCTTGAATTCCTGTGTACACTTTATATTCCTGTGTACATCTTACATTGCTGAGTACACCTCATACTCATGTGTTCATCTTATATTCCTGAGTACACCTTATATTCCTGTGTACATATTATATTCATGTGTAAATCTTATGTTCTTGACTACACCTTACATTCCTGTGTACACCGTATATTCGTGTATACATCTTATTTTCATGTGCTCATGTTATATTCCTGTATTCATCTTATAATCAAGTGTTGATTTTTTTTCTGTGCACACCTTATATTCGTGTCTACACCTTCTTTTTGTGTACATCTTATTTTCTCGGCTGTACCTTACATTCGTGAGTACATCTTACATTCCTGAGAACACATTATATTCGTATGTACATAGTATATTATATTGTTCATCTTATTGTCCTGCATTTGTCTTTTATTCCTATGTACATCTTATATTTATGCGTACATCTTGTGTGTATCTTATATTTGTGTATACATCTTATATTCGTGTGTACATCTTTTATTCCTGTGTACATCGTATATTCTTATGTACAACTTATATTCATGTGTACATGTTATATTCATGTGTACATATTATATTTTTTGTGTACTCCTTATATTCATCTGTTCACCCTGTTTTTATTATAATTTGAGTTTAAGTTTCTAAAATGAGGAGCATTAATTGAACATTGCATCAGATATTAACATTAAATTAATACGAAACCTTCTTTTATTTATCAGATGACTGACAGATGACTGACATAAGCATATATTATTTCTGTTTTAGGGTTTACATTAGGTATACTGTGTATACTCTTATATAAATACTTTAACATATAAATTTATATTTTTTAAAGTTTTAAATGTTAATTTGCTTAATAATTCAAATGTACCAAAAGAAACGTATAATTCAGATGTACCAATAGACACTAATTATTCAAATGTACCAATAGACACTAATGATTCAAATGTACCAATAGACAATAATTATTCAAATGCACCAATAGACACTAATTATTCAAATGTACCAATAGACACTAATGATTCAGATGAACCAATAGACACTAATTATTCAAATGTACCAATAGACACTAATTATTCAAATGTACCAATAGACACTAATGATTCAAATGTACCAATAGACACTAATTATTCAAATGCACCAATAGATACTAATTATGCAAATGTACCAATAGACACTAATTATTCAAATGTACCAATAGACACTAATTATTAAAATGTACCAATAGACACTAATTATTCAAATGCACCAATAGACACTAATGATTCAGATGAACCAATAGACACTAATTATTCAAATGCACCAATAGACACTAATTATTCAAATGCACCAATAGACACTAATTATTTAAATGTACCAATAGACACTAATTATTCAAATGCACCAATATACACTAATTATTCAAATGTACCAATAGACACTAATTATTAAAATGCACCAATAGACACTAATTATTCAAATGTACCAATAGACACTAATGATTCAGATGTACCAATAGACACTAATTATTCAAATGTACCAATAGACACTAATGATTCAGATGTACCAATAGACACTAATTATTCAGATGAACAAATAGACATTAAAGCATCATACATTGATGTCATGTTTTTTTTGTTTTTTTAAATATTATACAATGAGACTGAATACTATTATTTTAAAATCATAAGTGGGCATTTTTTCTCTAAATATATATATAAAAAAAGAAGCAAGCAAAAATATTAGTTACACTAATTCTTCAATTATTTTCCTCAGATAATCCGTCAACAATTCCCTCAGATTACGACGCGCAGACTGGGTACACGAGGACAATCTAAGTAAGTCATAAATGTAACGAACTCAGTTTATATTCTCATGGAGCGATAACATCATATTGTATTACGCTGTGATGTAAAGTGAAACCCAGCTATAGATCTAACACGATCATCTGCGTACATACAATGGGATCGACTTAGTTGCGGGGTTTTCGACAACGAAAAACAAAAGGATAAACGTTATTGTGCAAGCAAGGCCGTGGATTTAAATGTAACGAACTGTTCAAACTGGGGTGGTTTAATGAGGGGCTCCACTGTATGATGTAACGAACTGTTCAAACTGGGGTGCATTAATGAGGTGCTCCACTGTATGATGTAACGAACTGTTCAAACTGGGGGGGGGGGGTTTAATGAATGGCGCCCTGTATGATTTAACTAACTCCATATTTTAAAACAATTTTAAATAAATAAAAGCTGTTCAACTGATAAAATTTTCTTTTCAGCCTAACAAATTAATTTTTAACCTGATATTTATTCATTGATATCACATTTGGTTATCGTGTTTGCTCTTTTGTTGTTTTGTTTATTTTTGTGTGTGTTTTTTTTTTTTTGTTGAAGATTTAGTTCTTTTCATTAACATTGCAGTGTAATATTTTTTCTCGTATCATGATGTACAACTTTTACTACAATGTTTTTGTTTCTTCTATGGCAAATGTAAGGTATCATTACTATGGCATTGGTATTTCTTTTTATCTTAACAAATTAATTTTTAACCTTATATTTATTCATTTATATCTCATTTGGTTATCTTGTTTGTTCTTTTTTTTTTTTTTTTATTTTTGTGTGTGTTTTTTTTTTTTGTTGAAGATTTAGTTCTTTTCATTAACATTGCAGTGTAATATTTTCTCTCGTATCATGATGTACAACTTTTACTACAATGTTTTTGTTTCTTCTATGGCAAATGTAAGGTATCATTACTATGGCATTGGTGTCAGAGAGAGCTCCCATTACTATGATATTGTTTACTCGGCGAAATCTGTGCAAATGTAGGTTATCTTTTAATACCATTTGATATGCCCGTGTTTTAATCTAGATGTTATTGTGGGAATGAGATAAAGCTTTACTTAATTTTTCAATGAAATACCCAAACATGAAATATTTAAATGACATGACACAACGCTTGGATTCAACTTGATTTGATTTAGGTGAAAGAACAAACAGAATTAATTTTAAAATACGAAATAATTGCATATTAAATATTTTTACCTTCAGGATATTACAATTACGACTCAAATTTCTTTCTTTCAAAATATATATTTATACACATAAAAAAAAAATATATATATATATATATATATATATATATAAATATATATATATATATATATATATATATATATATATATATATATATATATATATATATATATTACTGATGTGCTTACAATTATTTATATTGAATATTCCCGGCAGGTCGGTGGACAGCAGCCAGCAAGTCATGAAACAAGTATGGTGTTTAAATGTATTGATTAAAAGAACAATATGACCAATGTTTTATGCTTATGAAATATATAATTATATTTAAATTTTATATAATTATCATTTGTTAAAATGTCTAATTGAATAATGTATCACGTTTTATTAGCGTTGTCTTTAGCTGGGGGTGGGGGGGGGGAGAGGAGGGGGTGAGGTGGCGGGGTTTTGGAAGTGGACTGTTAAATATTTGCCCAGTAGTTAAATATCTTTAGACATTTGTATATATGGCATCCTTCCGTCTTCGTGAGACGCTTGAGTAGTTATATAGTTCTACACTTTGACGAGTGGCTCACTAGGCCAATCCTAGAATATGAATCACGGCCGCATCTCTCGCAGACAGTTGTACTTCGGTACCAACCCACCTCGTTAGGTCCCGGATTGGTAAACCCCAATATTATGAAATATAAGATGTGTAAACGTACTCAGATGAGTTACTTAAAATAAAATAAGCTCTCCATGTGGGATTTTGAAATTCGTATTTCATACAATTGCATGGATTATCCCAGAATAAATTAACGGCTTTAATATACCGATATTGTAAAAAATAAATATATAAGAACAAGAAAGAGATTTTGTGTAATAAACAATAGAACTTGGAAGGAAAATAAAAAACTGCTTTTATTTTCCAACAGTGCTATTTAAGATGTTTGACTATAAAAAAAAAAAATAATAAATGACACGATGGTTGTTGTAGCTAATAATCAGCTTCAATAAAATAAGTGCCTTCGATATAGCCAGATATTGTTAATTCTGTAATTGAATGACCTGCAAGGGCTAAACAAATGTCATTTGTGCAAAGTGCTAAATAAACTAGCAAGTATGCAGAGGGTTAACGTGTGATGGTTATATGCATTGTCATGTATGGACGTGGCAAAAAAATGTCGTGTATGCATAGGGCTGAATTAACTGTAATACAATTTTTTTTTCGATCAACTTATTGGCACAGTATGTGTATGTGTCAAATAATTTATGTTCTATATTTATTCAATGAAATATACCTCCCCCCCACCGCCCCCCAAAAAACACACTTTTTTTTTTAGACACAAACTTCCTTTCCAAGAAATAATATCGGGACAATACTTCCAGCCTTTCCTGATGTCAATATGCATTGTCATGTATGGACGTGGCAAAAAAATGTCGTGTATGCATAGGGCTGAATTAACTGTAATACAATTTTTTTTCGATCAACTTATTGGCACAGTATGTGTATGTGTCAAATAATTTATGTTCTATATTTATTCAATGAAATATACCTCCCCCCCCCGCCCCCCAAAAAACACACTTTTTTTTTTAGACACAAACTTCCTTTCCAAGAAATAATATCGGGACAATACTTCCAGCCTTTCCTGATGTCAACAACATTAGACTCCCACAGTCTATACCAGAGTCTAAGGTAGATTAACTTAAACTATTTACCTGACTTCCCCACAATTACCACAGCTTCTTGCCATTCACACGACGCGCTAAAGTGGTTCAAATTCAATCCAAAATTAAATGCCTGTCTATAGAAATGATAGAGATGTTTTTCACATTACTTTTCTGTAATAATTTTAAACATTGAAATTCATATTACTGCATAGTCTTTAATAGTAGACTATAATGATTATGCATCTAATTCTAAATATAATTATTGCATCTTATATATATATATATATATATATATATATATATATATGTATACACCATAAAGTTCTAGCGGCATCACTTCCCTCTTTCTTACACATTATAGAATTGTAAGTACTTACTTTTTCCAGATTGTGACATTTCTGATGATGTACAGATCCCACTGTCAGAGGATTCTTGACACAGTAGTTACGGCCCATTTTGAAGAGGTTAATTACCAACATGTTTTTTTTTTCCATGTATTTTTCTATTTTGTTATGCTTTGTTTTATCCTCTGCAATATAAGTCTCAAATACACTATACCAAACATGTGCTACATATTCTCGCAACATATTTTTACTTTTCTAATGCTAATTCTTAGTAGTAATTTTCTCCAATGTCAAAATACACAATGCCCTTTAGCCTTTAAGTGTTGTTTGTAAAGGAGATGGGGCATTCTTTTCAATTTCGCCGACACGTTTTTTAAGCACTTAAAATAGCTTGAGTCCAGAGACTTTTAAATAAAGTTATTGCAGCTCCTACGCACATGAAGCACATGCGCCTGTCTTGCTCACTTAATTCCTTCAGTACCTCCATTGTTACTCTAATCAACAGAAGTAGATAAGGGAGTCGTTCTGAAAAATAAACAAAATGAAGATGTGGTTGCTGGTTGTTGTAGTGAATAGTATTCCATAAAATTAAACGAAAGGGTTAAAACTGAAAATAGCCTTCGAGTCGTCACGCTACATATCCCCAGTTAAATGAGTAGCCGTGATTTTCGGGTCAGGTTTGGAGGGGATCTTTCTCTTTTTTTTTTTTTTTTTTTTTTTTTTTTGCAAGAATGTCCGCTTTGAGTAGCTAGTCTATTCAGCTAATAAAAGCGAAGATGAAAAATGTTTAAAAAACCATGTCTCTGCGGAGGTATCTATGTGTGAGTGTGTTTGTGAGTATGACAAAGTGTTACGTTTCTTAAAATAGTTGACCACAATATACGCCTGCGGTAATTTGTTATAGAAGGATGGTAAAATATTAAAATGAACAAATATTCTATTATACATCCTAATGACTTGCATAGAAATCCATGGTCCTGTCCTCAAAATTGTGGGGATTAATTATTATTATTATAATTATTTTTTTTTGGTTCCAGGTTCACAGCCTTCTAGTTCATTTCTGGCAAAGCATCCCTGGCCATATATCCCCTATACTCTCTAATGACGTCGTGATTAAGCTGATAGGCGTCTGTGACTCCATTCTGTACAAAACTATTGCAGGTGTTATAATGCCGTCAGTGTTACAGGTTTTACCTGACAGGTGAGCTGCGTTAAAATCTTGTCCCACAATCCAACATTTTGAAACAGTTTTGCTTTACCACCACCTTGGTTCATTGTCAGCCTATTTTATTTCTTTGAAGGTTTGTACAAAATAATAAAAAGCTTAAAACACATTAAGTGGATCTAAAAAAAACTACTGCAGTATATTTTTAAGCAGCAAAGGCGAAATTAAAATGTAAGAAATAGTTGTTTTTTTTGTTTTTTTTAAATAAATTAACACAAAAATTGAATAATAATAACAATACATTCTAACCGTTAAGAAATGTTTCCAGGAAAAGTTAATATAGAAAATAATATAAATTTAAGATCAATTTTGTTTAAAAGTCGTGCTCATTTGTGAATGCAATCTTGCAGCTTAACTCAAGTCGTCCGGAAATTTGCGAGGCAGCTGGAGGAGTGGATCAAGTTGGCGCTCACGGGATTGCCGGATGGGCTTCTAGCTCTGAAACTTGACTGTGAGTACAACATCAAATCAATGGCCGTCCCTGCCAAAGGGATGGTTTACACTCACTGGACATTCAGGCACAGCAGATTATATTTAGAAGAAAGTAAACCATACGTTTATTTACATATATACAATAGTTTTAAATATATATATAATATATATATATATATACATATATATATATATATATATAAATTATTATTAGGAAACTTTACTAATGTAGTCGGAACACTACAGCTTTTTATTATGGGTTTACTGTCATGCTTTCTAAACAATGATGTTTTAAAAAGAAAACAATATAGGTGTCAGGCAGATTGAAAAATAAGTGTCGTCAATTTTTTCAAGCGTTAATACCTGAAGAAAAGGAAACAAGGTTGGGGGGGGGGTTGCTTACAGTAATCACAAGTGTTGGAGTCATAAAGGCGGCAGAATGTATAACGGAAAGTATATTAAGACTAATCTAAATGTAGACGCTTAAAAATGGAACAATTAAAACTTTAAAATCATTTAAAATCATAAAGTGTACGCTATATTTCTTAAACAAACCAGAGAGTGAACGCTATATATTCTGGAGCTATTACTGATCAACTGTTAATCTGCACAACAGCATTGAGCTATTACCAATCAACTGTCATCCCCCCTACCAACCCCAAAAAAGAAAAAAAAACACCCTTGAGCTATATCTAATCAACTGTTACTCCCCAAAACAGCCTTGGGCTATATCTAATCAGGCGTTATCCCAGAAATCCCATTTCTTCCTTATGACCCGTCCCAGTGTCCAGACGACTAAGCCAGGTGTTGAAAAGACAACTGTCCTTGAACCACTTAGCCCAAGCAGCTCACAGCGTGGTCAACTCACCTGAGATAATGAGCCAACTTCTGACCGATTGGCTGAACATTGACCTCAACAGCATCGTCAAACAGACGTTGTACACGATGGGCAACTATACGGACAGAGACTACGGGATCATTGTCGAATGTAAGCCTACTTGTTAAGTTGTCATACGCCTTACATATAGCGAACATATTTAAGCATCTACATCAGTGGTTCCCAAACGTCCATAATTCCCTGACCCTTTAATACATTTTCTCATCTTGTGGTGACCCACAAACCATTCAATTATCTTCGATGCTTCTTCAAAAATATCTGATTTACAATGGTCTTAGGTGACACTGTGTAAGGCCCGTTTGCCCACCCCCCCCCCCCCCAAGGGGTAGTGACCCATATCTTGATAACCGGTGATAAACATAGTTAAATTTACCAATTCAAACCAGTATAAATTAATCTAGAGAGTTACTATTTTTAATACATCAAAATGAGGTTGACCACAAATATTTAGTATACATATATCTTTAAACGAACGTTCATCTAAAAACTAAATGTTTGTTGTTGTTTTTTTAACGTCTTTTGGAAAGAGGCTTGTTTCATTGACCACGTTTCTCTCTGTACTGTTGGCTATTGGGAGAAAAGTATTCATACAGTGAAGAATATTTTCGGAAGAAACCTTTTTAAAGTCTTTTAAGATGAGTCATGAATCTATAGAGAGAATTGAAGCTTCCAATTTTAAAGTAATTCTGTAAATTTTAACCACCCTTAAAAAAAAAAAAAAAAAAAAAAAATTTGTTCATTATAAATCATTTATGTGTATTTTTGTTTGCATTTATGTAATTATTTAAATTAATTTTGTAAATTTTAACCACCCTTAAAAAAAAAAAAAAAAAAAAAAAATTTGTTCATTATAAATCATTTATGTGTATTTTTGTTTGCATTTATGTAATTGCGTGTGGTATCATTGATGGGATTGTATCAACTAATTTTAGTACGGGAATGGTTTTTATCAAATTTAGGGCATTCAAACCTAAAATGCGAAAGATATATGTAAACACAAATGCGTCACAAATACAAAGCACAAAACAACAGCTACACAATTTATCTCCACAACAAAACACGCAGCCGTTGAACAAATCATTAACAATCCTTAAAAAATTTGACAAAAACTTAGTTTTGGGGAAATTTAAGGCGGAGTGTGGAACTGAAAATTTAATCGAACGTGCTGTCATCGGCAAGAAGTCTATGTGCCCAGTTTCAGCCCGATCAGATGACAGGAAGTGGTTCAATTTTTGCCTTGATATACACATACAAAAGCGAAGATAATATAATGGATTTACAAAAAGAGCCATACATAATAATGAAGATGAGAATACTGACAATGAAAAAAAGATTGCTGTCACATAGGCGTAATCGAAAGTGTACACTCTGTTCATCCTTCAGATCCATTGGTCTATATGGCATACGTTCTTCGGCCTATACATTATGTTAAAAATCATGTTAACATTTTTTTTTGCAGTGTGCACGGAATTTGAAAGGCTCCTGGATGAACACGCTCCGCTAGAGGGATACGTTGATTGGCTGGACAGAATGGTCAATACGTGTGTTGTTAAGGTAAACAATTTCATACAATAACGGGGATTTTTTTTTTTTTTACCTGTTCACAAACCAGAAACTCAGTATAAGTCCTCTAATTTAAATAATGTTTATTTTGTTTGATGGCTAAGTTTCGGTCTATTTCTTCGATGATTAAGAAAGTTGGTCCAAAAAGTTATGGCTTCATGCAATATTCAGAAGTTCGATGAATATTCATTTGTTGAATTTCCCCGACAATTATTTTTTATTCATCTCTATTATTGCTTTATAATATAAAGTATCATTTATTTGTGGCATTTTAGCGTGTTTTTTTTTTTTAATCATTTTTTACTTATCAAATTTTTAAAAAATTCAATAGAAAGTATTTGCCAATAAGCGATTCCATATAACAACATTGTTATGTAATCCCAGGCCAGCAGTAAGAAGTCCGGGTCACTACGTCATACCGCCAGACAATTCCTCCTGATGTGGTCATGTTTCGGGACACGTGTCATACGAGACATGACCCTACACAGCGCTCCCAGCTTTGGTCAGTTCATTTTATTTCAGACACGGATAGATAACACATTGTTAATTTGTGACGGAGACCAGGGGTTCTCAAATATTTTTTTTTTAAAGCAAGGGTTCGAGTTAGTACCCTCATACTTTTTTTTTTGTGTGTTTTGGATCTGACCAATTAGTAGTAGTTATAGGACCCCTGAAAAAGACAAACAAATTTGGGTAAAAGAAAGCAATAAAGTGTTACATAGTAAAAAAATAATATGAACAGTCGATATACAGTAAAACTTAAATTTTCACCACATTATTTTCTCTTCACGACTAGTAGAAGTTTTTTGTTTTTTTTAAATTTTTTTTTTATAATATAAATATATATTTTACATGACTCATCTATTAAAAAAAAATAGAATTATTCTTTCCTAAAGGCTCCTTTGTAAAATATATAAATCGCTATTTATGTCCTGTGAGTCACAGACATAAATCTGGTACGGGTTTCTTGTTTCTGCAGGTTCCTTCCATCTGATTCACCTCATGTTTGACGATTATGTCTTAAATAAGATTGAAGACTTGCGCAGTGATGAGCGGATCAAAGAATTCATGAGAGTTGTCACAGGGGATACCATCGAGCGTAAGAAAACACTATTAGAAAATAACACAGTTATCCTTATTGGATGCACATAAACAGTCAGTGGACAGATAAAAAATAAACCACAATAAAAAAATATAGGACGTAATGTAGCTTTATTAATTAAGAATGCTAAAATAATAAATAATATCTTTAATGAAGAAAGGAACAGTTTTAAAATGTCGAATATACAACATAATTTAAACATATGCAGACTAATTCACAAATGTGTTTAAAAAAAGTACAAACATTTTTTAAAATAATTTCAAATTAAATAACTAATATTGTTAAAGCTATTTCTTAACACAAATTAAGTAATGCCTATTTAGAATGTTTAGAAGATTTAATTAATAAAATACATTTTCTTTCAAACGTTGTGCTCAATATATAATATAATGGTTTGTTAAACCGAAAATAAGATATCAACAAAATCCATAATTACATCTTAAAATACTTTGAAGCTGGACAGTTCCTTTCCTGTTTTACGAGTTCGTTTAATGATTCAAATTCATGTAGGTTTTTTAGACTAATGCACTATACAGGCATCGTGTAAGGTTACTGTTGACTATGTATATCCTTCTGTTATTGTAATCTACAGTGAGCTATTTGTTATTGTAAACTATAGAGATATTTGGGATATTGTAAACTATGGCGAGCTTTGATTTATTGAAGTCTATAAAGAGGTTGCTACAGTAAACTATGAAGATTTTTTTAAACTCTAGACTATGAAGAGCACGGTAACGTTTGAATTCTTGTAGATTATGAACAGCTTTTATTGTATTCTATGGAGAGCATTGAACTATTGTAGTTTTTAAACACAATCTCGAGAATTGTTAGCAATAATACTCTGCGCAGAACTTAGACATTTTTGACTTGGATCGATGGCTAAAACTCGTCTTCTTACAAGTTCAAATTAAAACAAAATAAAGAAAGGTCGCTTCTTTTCCATAATAACCGTCAACAAGAACACGTTTTAATCTGAAACTGCGCAGAAGGACAATACCTGGGATCGTTAGGTCGTCATATACCCTTGTATTGTCACGATATGTTTACACGTACTTTCAGAATTATCACGATTTCGATCCCTAAAGTATCGCTCAAGCAAATATAACAAAGATTGGACCAAAACTTCTAGAGTGTTGCGTCAAGGTAATGTCCTGCACAGAGACAAAGGTGGCATTGTCTCAAATATCGATATGTATGTGTTTGTCCACGCCGATTTCCTCAATCATGAACGGTGTTCACTCGATCTCCACAGTTGAATCTTTACCGACCTGTCCACGATGCCTGTGTTTACGGACATCAACACAATACAGATAAGCGCAATTCCGATATTGATTCAACCATCGATTCAAAATTAAACGATTTTCATCCAGTTACCAAATTCATATCACGGTGCCTTTCATTGGGAGAATATAATCTTTTTAATTGTTTTTCGTGCATTATCTTTTCTATTTTTTTTTTTTTTTGATCTAATCATAATTCAAGTTTAATTTACATACTGTTTTATTGAGACAAAATACGTGTGTCTCATTAATCTACTTAATGCCAGCATTGTTTACGTACAGAGTTCCACCAATTTTGTGTAAGGCAGGTTCCCGAAACTTTGTTTCCACATTTCTGTGGTACGTCTAATAATTATTTAAAAATAAGAATCTTTTTGTTGATACACAGCGCTCAAACGGGTTACTTAATATGGTTTTAAAATATATATTTTTTTTTTAGAAGTCTTTCTCTGTAGGTTAATGTGGAATCATTCCAGTTAAACTTTACCAATCTCTTATGCTCACGGCACACGATCCAATTTTCGATGATACATTTGATGCGATTTTGTAGGAAGCCTTGTCACAACTTTCAAATTACTATTTATTTGATCATATTTTCATTTTTTTTTTTTTTTTTTTTTTTTATCTCTTATGCTCACGCCACACGATCCAATTTTCGATGATACATTTGATGCGATTTTGTAGGAAGCCTTGTCACAACTTTCAAATTACTATTTATTTGATCATATTCTCATTTTTTTTTTTTTTTTTTTTTTAGAAATAATAAATGAACCACGCACAAAATAGCGCGTTCATACAAACATTCTACGGAAATTTGACGTAAATTTGATTGTGTTAACTGAGCCTTAGGGACTCGACACATTATTAAGAAAACTGATTTATATCACAATATATTCAAAGAAATCAACATTTGATTATCTGGAAGAGAGAGAAATTAAATATTAGAAAACAAAGCAAATAGTCAACTTCCGTTGCCTGACCTTCAATAGAGACATTTCACCCTAAAGTTTTTACACCTAATTTTGTTGTGAGCGCGATCTGAGAGGTATAAAATGGCAGCTAAAAGCAGGCATTCGCGTGCAGCCTATAAAGGCCCCCCATGGGCCCCATGTCTTTAAGGGGCGAACACACGCATATACACAGAAACACACAAACACACACACATATTAATCAATTATCCCATGCAATCCCCCAAAAAACTTGTTGTCACAGCGTAATACTATTTTCTTGTTCAATTCATCCAGTTAGAGATGAAGAGTTGTTTAGGATATAGCTAAAATGATGAAAGAAGTCAATAGTTATACATTTTTCAATAACAAAAATTCATAATTGTAATTATCTTTATCGTATGCACACATGTAAAAAAATTGTTTGACTACAACCCAGACAAATATATGTCTTTTTCGGTGAAATATTGACACCGTTGTTACAGTTAGTTGTCCTGACGTCACATTCTGCTGCACTGATTGACCACCCCCCCCCCCCCCACTTTCCTGCAGTTTCACCTGACCCGGTCTACGACGCTCAACTACCACCTGACGGAAGTTTTGTCATGTCTACGTTCACACCGTCTGCGTGGGCGGAGCAGCGTACAGCTGGAGTCAACATGTGTAACAGCGGCGTATCGACCAGCTGCGTGGGAGCGGAGAGATCAAGTTTCGGTAATTCCTGGCCAATGAAGACAGTAACTGTGGCAATAGGCTTTAGACATGTTTGAATCGCTTTCAATAATGTAGTAAGAGGGAACAAAAAGCTTAACTAATGCCAAAAAGCAAACAAAGCCAAATAAGAGAAACTAGTAATAGGTGGTCTTCCATTAATGACGTGTTGGGAAAAAAAGAAGTGGGGGGGGGGGTGGTTACATATTCATCACAATGTGTTACCTGTTTATCAAATTGCCATATTGGAAACAGTGAAGACAGGTAGAATTGATTTCAAAATTCAGCAATAGTTTTATAAACGTTTTAATAAGATGAGGTCAAGGACAAAAGGTTATTTATAAAGATAAACAAGAGAAGAGTAAAAGAACACAGTGGGGCCGGGTTTGGGTGGGGGGGGGGGGCTGGCCTGATACAGGCGAAATGTTTTTCTTTGTATATTTTTTTAGCTTTTCGCCCCCATCCACACAGTTTATTTTACTGGGAACGGGGGAGCGGAGAAAAGCTTGGCCCTCCCTTGGGCGACACCAACCTTAGCTACGCTGCTGGAAGAGCCGTAAAAAAAAAATGCAATTTAATGTGGGCTATCATTATAATGGCAACTTTGGACACAGAAATAGAAGAGAATCAGAAGAAGTAAAAAGAAATGTGATCAAATGTCATTCGAATTAAATCAAATCAAATTGTAACCGCAAGAGGTTGGATGTATTTCTAAATTACTCCGTATCCGGAAATTTGATCGAACGAAAGAAAGAAATTTCGTCGACTGTGAATTGATCGACGGTAATTTGATCGAACGGAAATTTGGTCTATTTTTTTTCTTCAGTTTTTGCATTAAAATTTTTCTTCAAATGTTTGTTTTTGAACGCATTATTTTGTTTTACTATATAGTAGAGTGCGTTCAAGAAGAAATTTGACGAAAATTTTAACGTGTGAACTGAAAAAGAAAGATTCAACCAAATTTCCGTTCGATCAAATTTCCGTCGATCAATTTAACGTCGACGAAATTTCTTTGGATCAAATTTCATGTAACCAAATTACTTTGGCCAGAATCTATAATGCCGTAAAAAAAAGTCATAAGAACACTTAAAATATAGTTTCATTTATATACATTGGGCCCTTTTACCCCAAAAGCATTCCCTTTTTACCCGATGTGTGTTAATTTACCCCAGTTCACCGACCACTGTCTTACTGGTAGAATAGAGAGAAGACCCTACGAGGTAGACGTTTTTTTTTGTTCAATCGTTACACTGCCTAGGCCGGTGGTATGCTGGGTTTACTTGTTTAGACCAATATCCTTGCTGCCCCACAGGCTACGACAGTCAAAGTGACGGGTACAGTAGTGGGGACGAGTCCCTCGACCCATCGCCGACTTGTATCCAGAGCGGGGCCACGACGTCTGTGGGGTCTCACATTGTAGGCCGCACAGCCCAAGTCAACACTTGTACGAGGTAGGTTTCACCAATGTTGTTGCACACACCGGGGTTGGGAAGCGTGTTACGGAAAGGGGGGGGGGGGCATTCCTCCCAAGGCGTTACTTATATATATTTATTAAAGGTGTTGCACTTTGGACAACCTGCACAGTTTTTCGTTAGAGGGCAGATAAAATTTTGGCCCAGTTTCACCAATGTTGGTGCCACACCCGGGGGTGGGAAGGGGGTTACGGAAAAGGGGGGGGGGGGCATTCCTCCCAAGGCGTTACTTATATATATTTATTAAAGGTGTTGCACTTTGGACAACCTGCACAGTTTTTCGTTAGAGGGCAGATAAAATTTTGGCCCCGCCCCTGGTGGCACTAACCATAGTAACTGACCATAGTAACTGACCATAGTAACTAACCATAGTAACTGACCATAGTAACTGACCATAGTAACTAACCATAGTAACTGACCATAGTAACTGACCATTGTAACTAACCATAGTAACTGACCATAGTAAATGACCATAGTAACTAACCATAGTAACTGACCATAGTAACTGACCATAGTAACTAACCATAGTAACTAACCATAGTAACTGACCATAGCATGGGTCATTTTTTTCTTCTTT